TAGACTTTGTAAAGTGGACGCCGTGACGCCGCCGTCTGAACGCAGCTTTAGGACAAACTGATGCCCAAGAAGTGTGTCCTTGTTCCCTCACTCATGTCCTTGTCTCCTAACTTTGTCTCCTTGTCTCCTCAGAGCGGCGGTCAGTGTCCTGTGTCGTCATGGAGACCTGTGTCCTTCCCTGCAGATTTAATCAGCGTGACATCGATCTGATCTGGTGGAGCAAAATTGAAGAGGATCTTCTGGTTCATCTTTCTCAAGACGGAACAGATGAGCTGGAGAATCAGGCTGAGGCCTTTAGGGGGCGCACTTCCCTGTTTCCGGAGCAGATCTCTGGAGGAAACGTCTCTCTGCAGTTGTCCCACGTGAAGGTGTCTGACCAGGGCTCATACCTCTGTAAGACCTTCACCAGCAGCTCTGGAGGAAAGACCTGGGTCCAGCTGAGTGTGAAAAGTAAGAACAGCTGTGGACAGGAGAGGACGTCCTCCTCTGTCTCTGTGTCTCTGTGTCTTGTGTCTCTATGTCTCTGTGTTTCCTGTGGCGCCCCCTTCAGGTCCCGTGTCGTTCCTGCACTTGGAGCTTAAAGGAGACGTTCTGGTCTGCAGCTCTGAGGGCATCTACCCTCAGCCCGCCGTGACCTGGACCCCTGACTCCGCCCACCAAACCCAGACGCGGCCAATGGGGGATCAGCTCTACTCCGTCAGCAGCTCGCTCGCCCTGGAGCTCCGCCCCCCTCAGAGGTTCACCTGTAACATCAGCACGACCCACAGCTGGAAGAGCGCCACCTACAGCCTGAACCGTGAGTCTGCTCCTGTCTGCTCCTGTCTGCTCCTGTCTGCTCCTGTCTGCTCCTGTCTGCTCCTGTCCTCACTTGTGTGTCTGCTCCTGTCTGCTCCTGTCTGCTCCTGTCCTCACTTGTGTGTCTGCTCCTGTCTGCTCCTGTCTGCTCCTGTCCTCACTTGTGTGTGTTCTTCCTCAGCTCCAGTGGAGATGTCCTCAGACGTGACTCTGCCCTGCTCCTCCTCTTCTGCTCCGTCTGCTCCAGTCAAGAGCCTGAGTTGGACCTTCAACCGCGTCCAGAGCGTCCTGAGCCGGAGCGGAGCGGACGTGACCTACGGCGCCCCCTGGAGGCCGTTTGTGGAGCGCCTGTCAGAGTCAGGCGCTCTGAGTCTGAAGGAGCTGAGCCCAGAGCAGGAGGGCGAGTACCTGTGTGAAGTCCACACGCAGCAACAAAACTACATCTCCAGCACACAACTGCGACGCACAAACACACAGACAGAGGACGGACGGGACGGAGGGGAGACAGGTGAGACAGGTGAGTCTGACAGGTGAGACTGACAGGTGAGACTGACAGGTGAGACACACTCATGGAAAAATATCTGAGGTGGTTCTTTTGTTGCACGTCAAAACGTCTCAGTGTGTTAAACTGAACTCTGAGGTTGGAGCAGGAGCAGTGACAGGTGCAGTGACAGGTGCAGTGACAGGTGCAGTGACAGGTGCAGTAGACCCTGTCTGATCTCCACATGTGTTGGTGTCCCACAGCAGAGGGCCCTGGGGCCCCTGCAGCTGTGATCGGAGTCTCAGTGTGTGTGGTCCTCGTCCTGGCTGGAGTCGTGGTTTTCTTCCTGTGGAAACGTCGACAGAACAAAAAGGTGAAACCAGGTTTAACACTCAGTATTCACTCTGGAGTAGAGCAGTTTAAACACTCATTGTATTCACTCTGGAGTAGAGCAGTTTAACACTCATGTATTCACTCTGGAGTTAGAGCAGTTTAACACGTCTGTATCACTCTGAGAGAGCAGTTTAAAAACACTCATGTATTCACTCTGGAGTAGAGCAGTTTAACACTCATGTATTCACTCTGGAGTAGAGCAGTTTAACACTCATGTATTCACTCTGGAGTAGAGCAGTTTAACACTCATGTATTCACTCTGGAGTAGAGCAGTTTAACACTCATGTATTCACTCTGGAGTAGAGCAGTTTAAACACTCATGTATTCACTCTGGAGTAGAGCAGTTTAACACTCATGTATTCACTCTGGAGTTTCATTTTGCTCCTTTGGTCGTTTCAAATGTTGTGGGGATCAGACTGGAGAAAATTCATTTCTAGAATCACAACAGAAACATTAGAGAAAGAAACAAGTTCAAACCAACTTTGATTTTATTTTTCAGGCCCAAAATGGAGCTGCAGAAGAACAACAAACGTAAGTGTGAAACATTTGAGCTGAATCTACAAAATAATGGTCCAATCTCCATGGAGCACGACTGGACACATGAGGGACCACAGTGTCTTGTTCTGTTCTCACTTTAAAATCACAATCAAACTATTGAGCAAAACCTTTTCTTCTTCATTTCCAGTTCCCTTGAGGAAAGAGGAGACCCTGCTGTTCTGGAGAACCTGCTGCAGGACAATGTTGGAGCTCCTGAAGGTAAACTCCAGGACTGTAGGGGCGTCTTTAGAGAGTGCTCCAGTCAGGTCCTCCCACAGTCCTGTCAGCTTTGTTAGTCCCAATAAAAACTCCAGGTTAAGTTCAGGCAGATTTATTCAGTAACAACATGTTCACGTGCTCATCCAACAACGACCTGTCTCCTTCCCCACAAACCTGCAAGTAACAAGTTCAACCTCTTCCAGGTGTAACGGCCCTGGCTGAGCGCTGTTGGGCAGGAGCTGATGATGATGGTCGTCATAACTGGCAGCCTTCTGTCCACATCTCCTTTGGATGTTCTTTGAAGCATCTTATCGACATCCTCATCAATTTGCTTCCAGACTGTTGTACCACAGGCCTGAGCTTAGGTTTGGGGGAACAGCAGATGTCACATGGAGGTTCTGGGCTCTGTGGGGTGGATCGTGGCTCAGTTCCTCCTATGTCCCATCAAATGCTTCATCTGTGGCACATCCTTGTTCTCCAAACACTTCATCCTGGTTTGGTCATCAGACTCCCTCGTCCAGGTGACCAAGCCACGACTGATCAGACCGTCTCTTGTGTTCTGTAGCACTCACTTCCCCCATGGTTTCCTCTCTGGATCATCTTGATGATTTCTCAGCTGCTTCTGTGGTATTTTTGATGTTCTTCTGCTCCTTGCTGTTCCTGCTCTGTCCAGTGCTCTGAGGACTCTGTGAAGTGGCCCATGAATCCTCTGCAGCCAACCTCGATGGGCATTTTACCTTCCAGCCCTGAGCTCGACAGTCGATGGTCAGATGTTCATATACCTCTTGGACCTCTTGACCCTGTCAGCTCATGATGTTCTTCTTCTCTCTGAGCCTCTGGAGCTTCTGATGTGGTCTTCCCATGACTTCTCTCTGTCTGCTCTGCATGTGGATGTTGGGAATGTGACTGTCTGGCTGCTGTTGGCAGGAGATCAGGAAGTGCTCCAGGGTTCTCTCTTGAAGGACACAGTTGGCAGGTTGGGGCGTCCACCTTTTCCCAGGTCATTATGTGACTTTTCAGAACTTTTTACTTAACATCATGTTCTAAACCAAACTGGGAGCAGATCAGAAGCTGCTGTAGACCTGCACTGTGAGGACACAGGACCAGATCATCTGCAAACATCAGATGGTCACACAGAGAATCTCCAACAAAACATCCAGGTTTAACTTCATGAAGCTGCAGACAGAGGAGTTCTATTTCTCCAAGATCTGGTTCAGCGCACAGATCCACGTGTCAGTGCCATGTCCACGCTTAAAGACAAACTGATGAGTCTCATGTTCTGTTTGTGTCCTCACAGAGATCATCAGGAGGAGCTCGGAGAACATCAGAGGAACCACAGAGAAGATGGAGTTTGATGAAGACTTCAGAGAACATAGAGAGACAGGGGATGATGTGTGAGAGAGGAGAGTCATGAGTCACAGGTGAGTCTCCAACACACCAGGTCCAGAGTCATTTGGTTTGTGTCAAACTCACACGTTTGTTCACTGCTGAGTTGAATCAATCAAACTTTATTTATAAAACACTTTTCATACAAAAATGCAACACAAAACGCTTTACAATGATTAAAAACAAGTTCCACATTTCCTTCCTTCTACACACCAGCCTTTGTAAAGCTTCAAGTCTCAGAGATGTTCTCCACACTGTACTGGTGTTGTAACTATGAGGACCTCTCGAAAACGAGACGGTGAGACATTTCAAGGGACTCATCCTCCAAACAAATACATACAAACACTGTGCTCCAAGACCAAAGTCCTGTCCAGTCTGTGATCAGTCACCGTGAACTGTTCCATGATGTTTTCCAACATGTGGTGCGAGGCTCATAGTCACAGTTCATGAGTTCATAGTTTTACTTTCACTTTCAGTTAGACTTTCAGCCAAGTGGAGCATTGAACAGTCACCGCCACAGTGATCCCAACTTTTAGAAAAATCAGGACCTGAGCCAATCAGCAAAAGATCATGTTTGTGAACAGGCAGATGTTTCTATGTCTCCACAGAGACGCCAGACACACGACTCACCAGTTCTGCAGGCGTCCGAGTGTCCTGCAGGGAAAGTTCTGTGGAGACACACAGGTTCACCCGACCATGAGCTTCTCATAGAAAAATCATGTCTGAGTATCAAATCCAGAGTTAATTTGTGTTGGGAGAGCAGAGCAGAGAGAATCTCTCCAAGTATAAAAACACGAGACAGAGACACCGAGACAAAGCAGGAGAGAAACACGTCCACCCAGAGAGAAAGAACAATGAACTCTGGCTCTGCTCACAGTTTACACAGTGTTTCTGTCACCGAGAAAATTCATTTCTAGAATCACAACAGAAACATTAGAGAAAGAAACAAGTTCAAACCAACTTTGATTTTATTTTTCAGGCCCAAAATGGAGCTGCAGAAGAACAACAAACGTAAGTGTGAAACATTTGAGCTGAATCTACAAAATAATGGTCCAATCTCCATGGAGCACGACTGGACACATGAGGGACCACAGTGTCTGGTCCTGGTCTGGTCTGGTCCTGGTCTGGTCCTGGTCTGGTCCTGGTCTGGTCTGGTCTGGTCCTGGTCTGGTCTGGTCCTGGTCTGGTCTGGTCTGGTCTGGTCTGGTCTGGTCTGGTCTGGTCTGGTCTGGTCTGGTCTGGTCTGGTCTGGTCTGGTCCTGGTCCTGGTCTGGTCTGGTCTGGTCTGGTCTGGTCTGGTCCTGGTCTGGTCTGGTCCTGGTCCTGGTCTGGTCTGGTCTGGTCTGGTCCTGGTCTGGTCTGGTCTGGTCTGGTCTGGTCCTGGTCTGGTCTGGTCTGGTCTGGTCTGGTCCTGGTCTGGTCCTGGTCTGGTCTGGTCTGGTCCTGGTCTGGTCCCTGGTCTGGTCTGGTCTGGTCTGGTCCTGGTCTGGTCTGGTCTGGTCCTGGTCTGGTCTGGTCTACTGGTCTGGTCTGGTCTGGTCTGGTCTGGTCTGGTCTGGTCTGGTCTGGTCTGGTCTGGTCTGGTCTGGTCTGGTCTGGTCTGGTCTGGTCTGGTCTGGTCTGGTCTGGTCCTGGTCTGGTCCTGGTCTGGTCTGGTCTGGTCTGGTCTGGTCTGGTCTGGTCCTGGTCTGGTCCTGGTCTGGTCTGGTCTGGTCTGGTCTGGTCTGGTCTGGTCTGGTCTGGTCTGGTCTGGTCTGGTCTGGTCCTGGTCTGGTCCTGGTCTGGTCTGGTCTGGTCCTGGTCTGGTCCTGGTCTGGTCTGGTCTGGTCTGGTCTGGTCCTGGTCTGGTCTGGTCTGGTCTGGTCTGGTCTGGTCTGGTCTGGTCTGGTCTGGTCTGGTCTGGTCCTGGTCTGGTCTGGTCTGGTCTGGTCTGGTCTGGTCCTGGTCTGGTCTGGTCTGGTCTGGTCTGGTCCTGGTCTGGTCTGGTCTGGTCCTGGTCTGGTCTGGTCTGGTCTGGTCCTGGTCTGGTCTGGTCTGGTCTGGTCTGGTCTGGTCCTGGTCTGGTCTGGTCCTGGTCTGGTCTGGTCTGGTCTGGTCTGGTCTGGTCCTGGTCTGGTCTGGTCTGGTCCTGGTCTGGTCTGGTCTGGTCTGGTCCTGGTCTGGTCTAAACTGGACTTGTGTGTTTCAGGTTGGATGGGGCAGAGCTGCGTAAACTCTCAGATCTGAGGAAGTGTGAGTCTTGTTTTGTGTCTTAATAAGAGAATCACAATGACAGAAACATGAAATAAACATGTTGTGACTTTAACGTGGGACTGGACTCACCTTTCACACTGACACGACTCCAGGTCTGTGGAGAACGTTCACGCTGACACGACTCCAGGTCTGTGGAGAACGTTCACGCTGACACGACTCCAGGTCTGTGGAGAACGTTCACGCTGACACGACTCCAGGTCTGTGGAGAACGTTCACTGACACGACTCCAGGTCTGTGGAGAAACGTTCACGCTGACACGACTCCAGGTCTGTGGAGAACGTTCACGCTGACACGACTCCAGGTCCGTGGAGAACGTTCACAGCTGACACGACTCCAGGTCTGTGGAGAACGTTCACGCTGACACGACTCAGGTCCGTGGAGAACGTTCACACTGACACGACTCCAGGTCTGTGGAGAACGTTCACGCTGACACGACTCCAGGTCCGTGGAGAACGTTCACGCTGACACGACTCCAGGTCTGTGGAGAACCTACAGACACAGAGAGAACATCTGTAGAAGCATCAGCTCAGTTGAACAAACTCTTGAACCCTGAGTGGTTTATCTGAGTCAGCAGATCCACGTGGTGTCCAATAAAGCCCATGACACTAAAGACTAAACTCTTTGTGGCTCCTGTAAACGCCTCCAGCTCTACGTCCACTGATGCTTTCACACATGAACATTCTCCTCACATTCACATGTTTGTGTTTCAGACTCCTGTGACGTCTCTCTGGACCCAAACTCAGCTCACAGACGCCTGAGGATGTCTGACCACCATCGAACTGTGACACTTGTGAAGAAGATCAATGAGCAGAAGTATCCAGATCATGAGGACAGGTTCACAGGCTTTACTATCAGGTCCTGAGCTGCACTGGCCTGAGGGGGCGCTGTTACTGGGAGGTGAACTGGAGCGGGTGGGTTTTTATAGCAGCGAGTTACAGAAAGATCAGACGGAGCGAAGAACAGAGAGTGGGTTTGGAAACAATGATCACTCCTGGAGTCTGGAGATCAACAAAGGAAAGTGCTTTGCCCACCACAACAATGAGAAAACATCAGTCTGTGATTGGCTGAGCTCCTCAGCTCCTCAGGGGGCGTGTCCTCTGGTGAAGGGGCGGCGTGTCCTCGGGCAGAGTGGGCGTGTTCCTGGACTCTGAGGCTGGAGCTCTGTCCTTCTATCAGATCTCCTCTGATGAAGAACTGTTCCACATCCACACCTTCTCCTCGTTCTTCTCTGAGCCTCTGTTTCCAGGGTTTAAACTGGTGACTGAAGGTTCCTCTGTGACTCTGGTCGACCTGAGCTCCTCCTGATGTTGTGTCCACAGAGTCTCCTTCAGGGTCAGAACATTAAAAATGTTCCAAGAGTGAAACAGGGAGAGAAGATGTGGGACTCTACACCCACTAAACCATTCTTGGATTCAGAAACACTTTTTCTTTTTCCCTGAAATGTTCTTTAGTGTTTTATTGACAGAAACTGTCCCAGTTCTATTGTGGACATATGTGGACAATAATCTGCCTTGTTCTACATCTGTTGTTCCATTTTCCAGAGCTGCCTGGATTATAAAGCTTTCAGATTCTGTTGAAGTTTATTCAACTCCTGAGTCGACTCCGGTGGTTTTTGTGTCTTGTTGTGTCTCTGTTTGTTGGATTTTGTCTTAATGTTTTTGTTTTTGTCCAACATCTGATGTTTTAACAAATGAAAATCAGTTTAGATTCACAAAGGAACATGGAACTGATCTGTGTGTTTAGAAACTCATATATAATATAAATATTTGGGACGTGTCTTGGTTTGAATCCATCTGTATTTCTGTGTTTTATTGATGTCGCCAAAATGTTTGATCGAGTAAAACACATAAACCACAAAACATTATATTTAAATGAGTCAGTGGAGCTGTGCCAAAACATCTGATCTGAATTTTAATGTTCTGTTATTTTAGACAATAAATGAGAGTGAAATGGACAAAGCTGCTTCAGAGACTTTTTATGTGACGATGTTGGACAAGGAGACACACTCTGCCCAGTTTTATTTCTGTAGATACTGAACAAGTGTCTGCAGAGATACAGTCGTCCATCGCTCTGTCACGGTTCACCTTTTGTGGCCTCACTGTTTTGTAGTTTTTTTTATTTTTTTACAGCTGTTAGGAGCGTCACCCTCGGCCTTGAGACGGCCCCTCGGTTGGAGTGAAACAATGAAGGTTTTGGCGTAAATTCTCCTGAAGGGCCCCGGACGCTGAGATGGAGATGTTCATAATGCTTTGTTTTATGAAACAAATGACTATTAGAGCATTAGAGATTGAGAGTGATTGATTTAGATATTAGAATTGTTTTTGTGATCTATATTAGCTTAAGTTACCTGTTCTGTTTTGATTTAACCTGACTTGTTTCTTTTATATTGATTTGCTTAATTTTTTCAATTTCATTTCCAGATTTGGGTTGTTTTGCATTACATTTTTGTAACTGCTATGTTTGTGTGCAGGAAAAGATAAAGACTTTATGTTCTTTTGGCAATTGACCTTTATTTGACACTGGGGTGAAGTGTTGTGCTGCTGTGTGTAGGAGGCCTGCATACAGCACGGGGGGAACTTCCTGCTCCTTCAACACAGGTGAGTGGCAGTTGGTTTTGCACCTGGGGGGAGGGGCATTGACGGCTGCACGAGGGGTGTCTGTGGTTTCTGTGAAGTGCTGCTTGTATTTGTAAAAATGTATGACATGTGTGACGTCCTGATCATCTGCATATACCTGGTGGAGCCCTGTGACACTAGATAAATACTGAAAAAATCTGATGCAAATTTACGATCCTGATTTTTGGCTTTGGCGTTGAGCCTCCGGCTGTAACTTGGCTTAGGAGGTCAGATGGACGATTGGACGAGGCTGTGTTCTAGAGCTGACCTGCTCACAGGGGGATTTCTCCAAAAGGCTACTGCAGGTGATTTGTCACGATTATTTTTGTATGAGCTTTCTGATAAAATAGCAGCTGCCAAGTGAGCAGGAAACAGGTCACTCAGGTCATGAGTGCACCTGGGCGTCAAAACTCTGAGTGAGCAAACTTTTGCATGACAACACACGGTGACGCCAGCGACAGGAGTAGTGCATAATGTAATAAAATGCTGAAAAATAAGACAAAGACAAATCACTTGTTGGGATCTTTTGTTGAGTCTCTCCCTTTTTTTTTTCATTTGTATCTTATTGTCTTTACACGATGTGGATTTACATGATAATTAACAAACCAAGAAATTTACAAATTGTCCATATTGTCAATTCTGAATGTCCAATGTCCATATTTAAACATTTCCACATTTCTGAATTCTACTTATACAAACTGTAATGTAACTTTAATACAGAAACAAAAAAACAAAAAAACTAGATAATTAAAATAAAACAAAATAAAACACAGTAGCTTTAAACCGGGGTGTTAAATCAGTCTTTGTTATCCAGACACTCATTCAGGTTCTACACAAAGTCAGATCTATGTTGTTTAATATAGTGTAACCATCCTTTCCAAGTTTTTTAAAATTTATGACCTTCCAATCTAAGTGAGGCGGTGAGTTTTTCCATATTATAAATACTCAATATTATATCATCACTCCTCTATTTTAGGCGTCTGATCACTTCGCCATCTCCTGGTCATCGCTTTTTTACTAGACAATAACAAAATTCTCAACATTTTATAATCTTCCCATCTCTTTAAATTCAAAATATCAATCATACCAAGATACATCATTTCAAAAGTGGTTGGAATATTGATTTTGAAGACCTCATCAATCACTTTTTTTATATCTGTCCAATATTTCTGTATTACGGGACGTCCCCAGAAGATGTGGAAGTGATCCTCTATATCTGTGCCACAGAACCTCCAACATTTGGTATCCCCCCTTTTCTCTGTGCCGGTGTTACAAAATACCTTACAGTGTTCTTCCAGCCACACTCCCTCCAAAAAAAGAATTAGTGGTTTTCCATTGGTATTTGTTAATTTCTACCCGTCCTTCATTTGACATCTTCATTTTTGCCTCCCTTTCCCATCTTTCTTTTAAATATTCCGTACTGTCTGTTTTTAATTCCTCCAGTGCTTTATACAGTTTGGCAACAGCTTTCTGAACTATCTGTGATTTGTATGCATCCATAATGATTTTTATGACGCCCGATGTATCCAGGGCAACTTTCTTACTTTCTTGCTCTATTTCTTGCCTCATCTGCAGGTACCTGTGAAAATCTTGGTTTTTCAGATTGAAACACTCCTTGGTTTCCTGGAAACTCATCACCCCTTGTTTTTTAATTAACTCCCAGTACATCTTTGGTCCGTTTTTCCATGTTTTAAATGTGCCATCAATTTTATTTGGCGCAAAATCAATATCGTAAGTGATCCACCTCAAAAATCTACATTGACTTAATAAGTTATATTTCTTCATAACATTTGTCCAAATTTTGATAGCTACACCCAACCATGGATTTACATTTACTTTACAATCTGATCTTAATTTTGGATCAACTAATATAGCTTGTATTGGCATCCCCTCTGTCGCTCTTTCTTCAATGTCTTTCCATTTCGTGAAGTATTCAGGATCACATACATTTAATAAAATCCCTCATTTGAGCCGCCTGGAAGTAACTCTTTAGACAGGGACGGGCCAGGCCACCTCTATCTTTTGGTAATTGCAGGGTTCTATATCTTATTCTTGGCCTTGCTCCGTGCCGTATAAATCGAGATATTATTTTATCCCATTCTTTAAATTCCTTCCCAGTCGGCTCAACCGGCAGGTTTTGAAAAAGGTATAGCAGTCGGGGCAAAACATTCATCTTAATCACTTCCACCCTTGATGTCAATCCCAAATAGGGTTCGATTTTTAATTTTGAAAACTCTTTTGGCAAATTAATGCCTAAGTACTTCATAGATTTCGAATCCCAATTGACATCATAACAGTTTCTTATATTCTGGTTTGGCACATAGTTGAAAGCTATAATTTGGGTTTTTTGAACATTGACTTTATACCCCGACAGCGTCTTGAAAAACCTTCATTAACCTTGGCCAGGAAGAGTTGGGATTATCCAGGTATATCAAGACGTCGTCTGCAAATAATGCTACTTTCTGTTCTACCCCGTTCATTGTAACACCTTTAATGCCATTGTTTTGCTTTATCCACTGACTTAACGGTTCTAAAAATATGGCAAATAACAGTGGGCTTACGGAACAGCCTTGACCACATCCCCGTTCTAATTGAATGAATTTAGACAAACTGCCATTAACCTTGATCCTCGCTATGGGATTTGTGTATAAAGTCTGAATGGTTTTGATACATTTTTCATGAAAGTTGAACTTTTTCATTACTCTGAATAGAAATTCCCATCTCACGGAATCGAAAGCTTTTTCAGCGTCCATTCCCATTATTACTGCTTCTAACTTCCTTTCGCTTATATGATGCATGATATGCAAAGTCAGACGGATGTTATCGTGGGTTTGTCTGTGTTTTATGAATCCGGTTTGGTCTAAACTAATAATATCTGGCAGAAGTTTTTCAATACGTCTTGCTAATGTTGCTGTAAATAATCTATGATCGACATTTAACACACTTATTGGCCTATAGTTGGAACAATTTGTTCCGTCTTTTCCTTCCTTTGCAGTTACAGAGATAACTGCTTCCCGCCAAGAATCTGGAATTGCTCCTCCTTTCATTATCCAGTTAAAAGTTTTATGGAGCATTGGGATCAAAGTTTTCCTATAAGTTCTGTACCATTCAGAGGTATATCCATCAGCCCCAGGGCTTTTATT